TGGGCATACTGTTAAATTAGAGCAGTGGGATCAAATATGGAAGAAAAATATTAGGATTACGAAAGCTATTCCGTATAAAGAAAATGTATATAAAATGTTTTATAGATGGTATGTAACACCTGAAAGGTTAGCTAAAATTGACCCAAAATGTTCTAATAAGTGTTGGAAATGTGAAAATAAGGTTGGCTCATTTTACCACGTGGTGGTATTGTGAAAGATCTAAGAAATATTGGGTAATGGTACACGAAATCTTGCAAAAGGTACTAGGTACTGTAGTACCATTTACACCAGAGGCTTTGTTGTTGAATATTCTACCTGATAATTCTAACAAAGATGATCGCTATTTGATTGTTTTTTTAACTACGGCTGCAAGAATTTTGCAAGAATGCAAAATATTGGGAATTACCCAACAAAACGAGAACTTGTAAACAAAATCCTGGAGGCTGCGGAATTGGATAAATTGACTTTATTGATAAAAGGCGCAACAGATTCGACATTCCAGAATACTTGGTCACGGTTCTATAACTGGTATGATAAATATGTAGGCAAGCTTGCAAGAGACAGATTAAGAGTTTACTAAATGAAATATACACCTGTTAGGGTGATAGAGACAGAAAAGTTGTTTACACAGTTCATGAAAAATTGTTATTAAGGTAGAATAGGCATCAGTATAAATATTGGTAAAAATGAAAATAACCTCCATGTATCTGTTTGTACGTTTGTACGTTAGTATGTATGTATATGTTATGATTGTTTGTGTATGTTATGTGAAAAATGTAATAAAACCCTGCCCCTTTGGGGGCAATTATTTAAAAAATAAAATAAAAGGAAGAAGCCTTTCCTAGCACTGCTTCCTAAGGCCTCTCTTGCATTGGAGACTTAGCCTGGCACATTCTGCAGGCATAAGACATGGTCTACTTACAACCAGTAGGCACAACAATAAACCAAAGCCACGAACCTTGAAACGTGCCTGACCTAGATCGTAAATCTTCTTCAGGGGAACCACATCTGGAGCAAAGAAGTGGCCGAGTTTGGCCAGGATGACACCGTTCCGCAAACTTTCCTCCAGTTCAGTAGGCGACGCCAGGTCCTCCTTCAAGCAGGCCTCCATCCAGCTTGTGTGTGCAGAGACAAACAGGAAGGAAGGTTTTCCTTTTCCCAGATGACATCAAAAGATTTTTTTCAGAGGTTCCCCTCCCCCCCAAGTTATCCTCATAACCCTGAGAGGTCAGAAGGTTAGGCTGAGAAAGAGTGGCTGGGCCAGGTTCACACAAGACATAACCAGGGTCTTCTCTGGTCGTAGTCATACATTATATATCATATTGGCCGGTTTGCCTGTTGCGATGGCAGTACAAAAACCTGTTTTGCCTCTAGGCTAAAAATAACTAATTAGCTCACTGAGCAGAAGGCGAGGAAGGAGATGGAGAACGTGAGCCTCCTAATACCCCAGGCTCATTCACATAAGCAGCAAACCTGAACCAAGCCACTCTTTCTGAACTTGGGTGCACCTCTTTGGCTTTCGAGAAATCTCTCCTCTTCCATGAATTGAGCTGCGATCATACGTACTAGAAACTGCGGGGCAGGCGGGCGGAAGTCTGATCGCGCAAATGCGCATCAGTTCACCCCGGGGCAAACAGCCTCGCTTCCCGCCCACAGTTCCTCGCTGGTGTGATCGGAGCCTTAGTTACCCTTCCCCATAAAAGGATCAACATCCTGTGGCAATGAGGCCCATGTTAATTACAATTTGAATGAAATGCACCCTCTTACCTGTCCACCCACTTCCCTTGGTGCCCAAATAGTATTATGAGAAAAAGGAGTCCAAGATCTCTCTCCACCCCTTTGAATAACTTTATTGACATTGATCATGCCTACCCCTTAAGTCAGCTTTTCTCTGAACTAAAAATCCCTGAAACTCTAAAGCCTTCCTTCACAGAGCTGGTGTTTTAAATCAATTATTTGGGATGCCCTTTTGAGTACTTTCCCCAACTCTACGATATCCTTTTTTGAGTTGGCAGCCACTAGATTATACACAGAGCTCTAGTTGCAGCTGCCACACCATGAACACATGAAGCCGCCTTCTACTGAATCAGACCCTGGGTCTATCAAGGTCAGTATTGTCTACTCAGACTGGCAGGCGCTCTGCGGGGTCTCAGGCAGAGGTCTTGCACATCCCATGTGAACTGGAGATGCTGAGGATTGAAACCGGGACCTTCCGTATGCCAAGCAGATGCTCTGCCACTGAGCCACAGCCCTCCTCAAAGATTTATAAAGGCATTACAGCAGGGGTGGCCAAACTGTGGCTCGGGAGCCGCATGCGGCTCTTTCATACATATTATGCGGCTCCCGGCAGGGCGGCTGGGGAAGCTAAATATCATTAGCAAACAAATACCATTGGACAAATAAATATCATTATCAATATCTGCTTTTACAGCTTTTGTTATTATTTTTGGCAGTCTCATTTAATGTTAATAAAAAACAAATCTGCATATTTCCCGGTAAAAATGTGTAATGTTTGTTCATGTCTTGCGGCTCTCAAACATCTGACGTTTATTCTGTGTGGCTCCTACGTTAAGCAAGTTTGGCCACCCCTGCATTACAGCAACCAGAAAGTAAACGTTGCCAGACATGATTCCTTCTGCCTTGGCACCAGCCTGATCCTCTTAGACCGGTAACCGGACACAGGAGACGGAGGGCAGGGGAAAGAAGCTACAGCTGACTTCAGTTCTTTGCTCACCGTTTAGCTTCCTCTAAGCGACAGAGGTATTGGTAGGCCTCATTCTGACGCCTTTTCTCATCCATTTCATCTGCAGTCAAGCGTTCATCTGGGAAAGCGAACAGAACAAACTGTTTAGAAATTAGAAAGAGAGGAAGGCCTAACCCAGAAAACACAACCAGGCTAAAGTTAGAGAGAGAGAACGAATGAACTTCTACCAAAATCTAAAGCTGCCAGGATTTGCTATGGGCATAGAGTGACATAACTCCATCCCTTGGCATCTCCATGACAAAAAATCCTTCGCACTGGTCTTTTTGAGTTGGAACTCTGTTCAGTTTTAAGCCCCTGCTGCCAACAAAAACAAAGATGATCCCTGAGTCTTGCCTTCATGGGTTTAAGAGACTGTTACCTGTTGGAGAAAGACATTTGCACGATTCCCAACCTATAAAAATGGCACCGATATTATTCACAGAGAAACCTAAAATATGATTCCCCCTTCCTTACCTTGATCTGGAAGCTGATCTTTAGAGGTCAGTACTGAGCAGACACAGCTGCCCAAGTTGAATTAGAAATCCTACCTGCCTCTTGAAGAGTTCAGAAGCAACTAGGGTACCCAGTACAGAATATCACCTACTTGCTAAGGGATGCACTGAGATACCCACACTCTCTAGCCCTGTGCACGGATTTCTGTGAACACACATGTACATCTTGCATGTACATGTGTGTGCCTGTTTTTAAGAAAGAGCCAGCACAAGTTCACTTTACAAATGAAACTAGGGTCTAGCACCTCGATAAAGGTGGAATCTCAATCACACGTTCAACAGTACAAGCGTTGAGAGTAACACAAGAATTACTCAACAGACATAAAAAGAAAAACAAAGCATACACTGTACACAGACGGTACACGCATTCCTTGTAGCATGAACTGCTACAGCAAAGGGAATCACTGGAGAAACAACACGGAAATTGGAACAGCAAGATGGGGCAACAAGATCCACAGTCTCTCACAGTCCCCAAATACGCCCATTAAACAACAGATTGTTACTGTTAGGGTCGCCTGTTTGACTGCTTGAATAAAGGCATGATATTTTTAAAGCACTAACCTTGTCAGAAAAAGAAGAAAATAATTAACAGATTTGATACTTTCGGACATTTCATTTGGTTGAATTTTTGGGTTAAATTCATTGAGTATTATTGTGACATAATGAAGTTTAGCTTTTTTTTTTTTTAATCTAATTATTACAATTTAATGTTCAGTAACATTTTGGTAACCGAGAGGTGATTGCAAAGTCCATCTGGACGACACATCAGCAGATGCACACCTTGAGTTTTGTGTGGGGAACTCAGTACCCTGGCACATGGAGGCCTGGTTCAGATTGGAACTACAGGGAGAAGGGATTGATCCTGAATCCTGATGAAGAGCTCTGGAGAACTCAAAAGTCTGCACACTTGTTTTCGTTTTAACAAAAGGTATCAGGTAGCTTTTGTTTTGGGATATTCAACAGGACTAAGGGGAAGCTCAACCAATAACAGTGGTTTACAGAACAGCACTATAAGACAAAGAGACTGGTCCCATGCAATGTTCCCTCTAAGCTGTGGAGTCTTGTGAGCAAAAATGCTACTTTGTGAGCTCCTGGCATAAAAGTCGTGAGCGAGCGATTGGGCTCCTGCATAAATTGGCTTGCTCTGGAGCCATCCTTCCTGAGCTAAGGCAAAAACGTGTGAGCCGGAAGCTAAAAAACTGTGAGCTAGCTCACACTAACTCATCTTAGAGGGGACACTGGTCCCATGTAGTTTACAGCCTCTTTCCTCACACATAGTTATCTATGGGGAAAAAACCCACACCCAGAGGGTGGTGATCTCACCCATAACAAGAGGAAACAAGCAGGGCAGTCTGTAACACACTCAAGGTTATGACTCACAAGCTCCAAAGGGTACTCTTGTAACCGCCGGCAGAACTGGCAAGTGATTTCATACAGACTCTCTGTGTATCCTTCTTTTGAAGCCACGTAAATGGAACTGGGTATTTCCACTCATCTCCTCCCTTTCTTCCCTTGCCCAGTTCTCAGAAAGGAAAAGGGGAGTTAGCAAAAAAAGCCTTTTTATATAGCCTGAGGCTTCCAGTCAGGAGAGGGAGAGTGGATAAGGAGGAAAAAAATAGCCTTGCTGAAACCAACACAAATTCAATGGACTCCAGTTTCCAACGATGCCTCCAGGAAGCCCACCAGGAGAGCATGAGGTCAACGGCCCCTTGCCCCCAGCAAGCAGCATTAAAAGGTGGACTGCCCCTGGATCTGGAGGTTCTACTTGGCTCTCATGCTTAATAGCTAATCAGAAGTGCCCTGGTGGATCTGACAAAGAGTCCAACCAGTGGAGCATCCTGTTTCCAAGACTGGCCCCTGGAGAAGCCCACATTCTTCCTGGCATTCTATGACTGGGGCACTGTACTAACTGCTGCTAGCCACGACCCATATCCATGAAATCTCTCTACCATGAATGTCGATAGAGACCTGTACATCAAGTCACAAGTGGGGAAGAAGAGGAGCCAGAGTCATGACCTAACTAGTTGTCAGGATTAGGGTCATTGGCCACAGACCCAGAGAGTTTGGGGGAGATCTAAGTGCTGCTAGCCACGACCCATATCCATGAAATCTCTCTACCATGAATGTCGATAGAGACCTGTACATCAAGTCACAAGTGGGGAAGAAGAGGAGCCAGAGTCATGACCTAACTAGTTGTCAGGATTAGGGTCATTGGCCACAGACCCAGAGAGTTTGGGGGAGAAACAGCAATCTAGTTCCAGGAGGTTTACTGTAGTGAGCAGGGGGGTCAGCAAGCATTTATAATCAAACATCCAAACTATGTCAAAAGTCAGAGCTGGAGATCAACGGAGAGCCAGTGTTGTCTGTGGACAAACACTTGTCAGGGATGCTGTAGGCTGATCCTGCATTGAGCAGGGGGGTTGGACTAGATGCCCTGTGTGGCCCCCCTTCCAACTCTGTGATTCTATGAAAGCCTGTTTGCATAACTGGATATATGCAACTTAACATTACTCATCATTGACAGGGTAATTAATTGCCCATTAACATTTCGGCAGCCCAAACACTGGCTGCTTTTGAGGTTTTTATTAGGAAATGGCACACACAAGGTCTCGCAATAAATAACAAATATACCCAGCAAGAGTACCTGCGTGATTGTTTGAGTGCAGAGGCATAAATTCGAGCATGGCTCTAGCCCTCAAGATTCCGGGCAACAGCTCGCCTCTACCTTGTCCCTTTCTGCAAAGCATCTCTAAGAAGCCCTCCAATTCCATAGGCACATCGGCCTGCCAGTCCCTTCACAGACTGGTTATGCTAGCATCCCACCTACCTTTCCAATAGACCTTAACTTAAAGATTCAATTTGTTTTCAAAGAGCCGCATTTGGTTCTCTACTGAACCATATTTGGCTCTCAAGCCAATGCGGCAGGCCACCGAACCTACTGCCAGTCCATCAGCAGCACCAGACCTGGAATGGCATGGGCTCGAATCCATGACTAGGTGGTTCACAGCCCACAGCTCCCTGCCCTCTCGCTTCTGTCAAGGACTCCTTAGATGGCCTTAGGAAAACTGCTCTGCATGCAGAAGGTTCCAGGTTCAATCCCCAGCATTTCCAGTTAAAAGGACTAGGGAGTCCGTCATGTCAAAGACCTCAGCCTGAGACTCTGGAGACCAATGGTCTGATTCAGTATAAAGGTAGCTTCATGTGCATCATTTTATCTCTCCCACCCCACTAAGGATAACACTGACCTGACAGGCACAATGGGAAAAATTCTTTGGGCACTGTGTAATATTATATAAATATTTCCCCCCCTGCTTCATGCCAAGGTATTTTGATGGCTCTAGCTACAAATCTAAATGGTGTCACCACCCCCAGCTATGGTAAAAATATACTATGAAACTAAACCAGAGCCAGTTTGGTGTAGTGGTTAAGAGCAGCAGACTCTAATCTGGGAGAACAGGGTTTGATTCCCCACACCTCCACATGCAGCTGCTGCGTGACCTTGGGTCAGTCACAGTTCTCTCAGAAATGTCCCATCAAGAGCAGTTCTCTCCGTGACGTAATAGCCGTATAATATAATTACCACAAGAGCAAACAGAATGATGTAAAAAAACTGATGTAGTGTCATACTCGGACTCCTGGGTTCAAACACCTCACCCATGAAGCTTGCTTAGCAACCCCCGTTAGTAACCTACCTCCTAGGGCTGTTGTGAAGGTAAAAACAAGAATCACATGCACCACCTAGAGCTCTTTGGAAGAATGGCAGATAGAGAAAACACTTCTTCCCCCTTTACAAGCACCTTTTAGATACAAAATTATAAAAGTATTACGTAGTATAAATTATGGGATGTTGTTTTTGGGGGGGAGCATTTTACAGTCTTGACCCTGTTAGCATAATAATAATGATTCTTTGAGAAAACAGGAACAAGAAGCCACCCACCCCACATTCAACATGTATTGTCTAAGTGACAAGCAATCTCAGTGGGGTCTAGTGGTTAGTGCGTCAGCTGAGGATCTGGGAAATCCAGGCTCAGATCCCCATGTGCCATGGAAGGTTACTGGGTGAACTTGGGCCAGTCACTGTCTCAGCTTAATCTACCTCACAGGGTTGTTATGAAGATAAAATGTAACCTGCTTTGGATCCCCATTGGGGCGAAAGATGGGAAGTAAATAAAAATGTCTTCTGGAAGAGCTGTCTCGCATCAGATGCAGTGGTTTGGTGCCACACCCCACTAGGAGTAGCTTAAGGGGAAACAACAGGAGCTGTTCTTCAGACACAATATTCATACCAACACCTCAGGTCTAGAACAACAAAAATTCCTCTCATCCCTTTCTTTCGTGGTTTCTTTTCCTTTCTGTGCAGCTATTGACAGGGCAAAGCAACGCTTTATTTCAACCAGAAGATCTGCATTTAGGAATAAAACCTTGTGCAGAACTCAAATGATATGGTGCACCGGAACGCATGCAGAAAGAGGGGCGCGTCCCTCTGGGACCTCCTCCCACCCACAACCCACCCTTTCGGCCAGTTTTTCCTGTGCTTCGGTTTCCAAAACTGAAATCCCTCT